AATTTTGGTCCTGCTGAGGAGCTAGTAAAAGATTATGTGCAAATGTAGTAGAGGTTCCTTGCTCAGTATGTTTTAAAGAAAAAAATATCTTCAGGAAGATAACTAAATGCTTAACCATTTCCCTGCTTATGATTTCTATGCTTAATACTGTCACCTCCTAAAGCTATTTTGTTTCAAATCTAAGCAGCCAGAACTCAGTTACATATTTGTTTATAACATAGTTAGATCATTATGAATCTCAAATAATTCAAACCATATTAATAAAAATTAGTTTCACAAATGTACTGAAAATGTCCTTGCCAAAAGTGGAATACGTATGATTATCACCACCATTCATTTTTGTTAAAACAACTAAGAAGTTGTAGTAGTTATTCAGTTTAGTGTTATATGTCAAGATGGTTATACCTCTGCCAGTATTAAAATACACACTATTTAACTTCTGCTTTAATTTCAACATGGTTCTCATCTAGCTAGCCCAGATCAGCCTTGTGTCCTTTTGCTTGTGTGTGTCTCTGTGTGTGTGTCTGTGTGTGGAGAGAGAGAAAAAATGATTTTAGATCCTTGCATTAAAGTATCTTAAGTTGCTGATGCTGGAAAAGATAGTTGGGTTCACACATTAGCATGTATTGACCATAATGGCTGGTTTCACACACTAAAACCAAGCCAAGTAAACCACTTTATTGTTTGTATAATCCAGCCAGTGAATTTGCTATAGTTTATGACAGGGACTGATACCCTTTTGAGATTGAGATGGTGGGTTCCATTATACAATCTCACACAACAGTGCAGGTGCCAAACACATTACTGTATTTTTTTGTAATGCCAAAATCTCATACAGTTGGCTTGCTTACCCTAAGTTCCCAGACAAGAATGGTGAGATCCCATGTGAGAACACAGCACTTAAAAAAAAACAAAAACAGTAGTGTTCTGCAGAACTTACTTAGACATTTTGATGCCTATGTGTTACCTCACCTATGGCTACGGTGAATCCTTGCCTCTCTTCTCATTCATTTCACTGCTCTTTGGGGAAAAAATGGACAGAGAGATAATGATTGGATACTGCCAGCTTCTCCTTTCTTTATATCTCATTCCAGGCAAAGCAGATATGTGGGGACGGTGCTGGTGCCTGACATTTGCTTGGGGAACAGTCATCTCTACAGTGCATATACTGAGATTCAGTTGAGGATAACAATGCCATGAATGGGCCTGGAACTCTTTGAAATACTTATTTCTTTAAATGAATATGCTAATATATAAAGGTAGAAAAGAGAGTATTAGTTAGTAGCTTTGTGTACTTCTGGTTCCAAAAGTATTTGGAACTGGTTGTCTAAAAGAAAAGACAGTTTATAGGAAAACTGAATTAAGTCACTAAAGAAAAGGTTATAAAGTGACTTTCCTGCTAAGTCTCAAACATTAGAATCAATGTCTACAGCAGGAGCGAGAGTGTGGGTCTTTCCCAAAATTAGGGGAATGATTAAAATTAGCCAGCACAGAATTAAAAACGAAGATAAATAATATTTAGCACTGAAATACATCATTTAAAAGTAATATTTAAAATTTATTATAAAATGAAGATTGATTTTGAAGGGATCTTTTCTTTCCTCCAAAAGGAATATTTTGCATATTTTACTTTTCTCAAGACTAGCTGAATGCCTGGCTAAAGTTACAGTTGTACTGGCTTGGTGATTATTCTACAAGAGAAGACATTTGAGAAGATTTGACATAATTAAAATTCTGCATTAAATAAACACTAATTTTTCTTTAAAAATGAAACTATTCCTATTTATCTAAAAAACAAATTCCAAATGCTCAATTTGAGTGAATATATATTAGTTAACTTATGACAAGGGAAAAGGCAGCTAACTTTGTAAAAGACAAATTAATTCTTCTCCTAGGAAGGTTCAACTGGTAGCTGATATTTAATTATTGCAGCCTTAAACATTTATTTTTCTATGCAAGACTTGAAGAGCCTAAACACAGTTGCTACTGATTTAGGAATATTATGGCACTAACTCACTTACTAGGAATACAGGGCAAGAGTGATGATGACTATCTATTTTCAAGCTTCCCCAAACTGCTAGTTATGCTATAAATAGAACTCAACAACCTGTAACCTGATGGGCCATAGTTTCAGAGATATTTCCTTACCTAAACAGGGAAACAGAATGACCAAGGGCAAAAAAACAGTGGGAGTGTGAGCGACTTACGGCTTGCTGCTGGCTTCCCTGTTGACTTTGCTTGTGGGAAGCTGGCAGGGAGTATGAGAAAACTTCCTTCCTTCCTTCCTTCCTTCCTTCCTTCC